TTGTCCGAAGCGGACGTTGATGTAGTTTCACACCTTGATGTGCGCTTGATTACAAATTCATCATCGTCAAAATGAAAACACTAATAACTGTGACCCATACATAAAAATTTAACGTTTTATCTTTAAAGTGATCAGGTTATAGTGTGCATATAAACACCGAGTGTGTTACCTCCTGCCCTCTCTCCTTATTTTAGGAGAGAGAAGGGGGGGGTGTCTTTGTGTGAGGGTTGTTATGGTGGGGAGTGTAGTGTTACTGTTTAAGGTTTTGGTGATATCTGAGCCACAGTGTTTGAAGTAAGGACCACTGAGGGGAAGTGGCCCACCAGACTGCTGGTCAGATGACTTCCAGTATGCTGGGGATTAGAGCCAGTTGATGTGGCAGGTGTGAGGGGATATGACTGCTCAGTGACCAGCTCCCTCACTGCTCCCACTAGAACTGGACTTTAGTGGAAAAATTTAGATGCTAATACTGTTTAATATGTCTGAATATTCATACCAATTGTAAATATGACACTTGTATTCAATTCTTCCCTTTTTTTTAAGATTGAAAATATAAAATCCAATTATAAAACCCAATTGAATTTAATTAAAAAACAAAACAACTTGTTGACATCTGTATTGTGAATTAAATGATTATCACTTCTCAGTACCTAGGAGAATTACATCAAACCCAATATGTGAAACTTTAACGGTCTCCTATGTACAATATACACATTTTCATACAAGATACACGTATTTTAAATACTTCCAAATGATTAATTTCTCCCCAAGTGTGGTCACAAAAAGCTTTACAATAAAGCATCATTTTTAAACATAATGCAATGCCTTAAGCTCTCTTAATTATTATTTTTAATTGGTATTTCTTCAGCAAGATACTAACCCTTTAATTTACCAGCTCCTTCTCTGTTGGGATCATTTGTTGTGTTTCTTCTTTTTATATCATAATCATTGATCAATCCAAAATGGTAATGACAGTTATTTGCAGCCCTGCTTGCTGCAAATGACACATTGACAACTCAGTGTCAGCTGGGGTCAGTTTTAGGACTGAGATTAAGTTTATTTACATATAGGGTGTGTTTACCAAATCTGAATCTGATTTTAAGTGAGGTGAAGATAAACAGTGTCCATGAGCCTTGGCTTAATTTTGACTTACTTACACAGGGTCGTGTTTGACTGTGTGTGTGTGTGTGTGTGTGTGTGTGTGCGTGTGCGTGTGGACGTGCGCACATGTGTTTGTGTGATGACATTTCAACAGAGCGCGAGGGCAAGGTTTATCAATTATAAACATGAGCCGATGGATCCCATTACGCTGTGTAGATATGTGTGTTTACTCAGCAGTGTGAAGAGCAAAGAGAGACAGGAGGGAGACGCAGACAAATGTATGCAGGCTTATCCCTCTCTGTGGACACTGGCTCTTGAATGTCCACATCACTCCGAGGTCATTATTATCAGTGCTTTAATTTTTTTTTCTCACTTCTTCTTTATGTAATAGTGAATAAACCGTTCGGTATCTAAATCTTATTTACACATTGTTATTTTCACAACAAATGGATAGACTGGCAAGAATCAGAGAAGCCTGGGGGCTTAGTTTGAGGCAACATCCTACTCAATCCTTTTCCAAGGAAATGATTGGAATTCCTGGTACTTAACATGCCTAATGAGTAGAACAAGGGAATCACAAAGAGGAGGTTTTTCCTTTCATTCTCCATTCCTTTCTCTCGATTCTTCTTTCTTTTCCAGCATTGTGTGAGCAGAAATCAATTTCAGCTTGTGATAAAACGCAGTGGAATATCTGCTTCGCATTTACAATGCTCCAAAATGCATTTGCATGCATTTAGCGTTTTCTGTTTGTCACGGTTTTACACCAGCAGTATGGCTTCCGATAGGAATGCATGGCAGAAACCTTATCTCTCCGTCGCCACAGTATCTCTTGCCTCCCCCACCCCCCTTCATTCTCTGGCCAGACACCCCCTGATTTTATTAATGCCCTCATCAGGAAGTGGGGCCTAGAGTTTCTCTTTACTAACAAACAAATTAGTCTTTGTATTTGAGTGGCTCCACCCCTCCTCCCTCTCTCTCCGGCTGCTGGAGAAGCTGGAAGAAAATTCTCAATGAAACAAAGAAGACATGCAGCTCGATGGCTCACAAGTGGATCCCAGGGGCATTGGTGTTGATTGGAGAAAGCAAATACTATTTTCTACTGGAGTAATGGTTTCCGTTCTAATTTTGGAGAAGTGAAACAGGAGCAAATATAGCCCATTCATCCCCATAAACAATGTGGCTTCTATTTTTGGCAGACTAGTTTGAACAAAGAACGTCAAACATGGCCTTTTTTGTCTCTACTGAAGTGGAGTTAATTTACTCTCAGGGACACTTTGAGAACACATACACATCCTATGGTTGAACATATCCTAAGGAGAGATCGCATTTGTCATTTTTGGTATGATTTTCCTATTTAAGAAGGACAATCTGATGGCACAGTGGTTATTTTGGGACTAGAAACAGTTTAGTTCTTTGCTTTATCCAGTAGTGGTGGTTAGACAGTGTTTTGACAAGGATCACAGACTCTTATTGAAAACATGCCTGTTTGTCTCATTGGACAGGCGCTATGACAGTGTCGCTCACTGCTACGACGTCCTAAGCCTCTGTAAGAACATAACAGGTTTAACCAAGGAGCTTATATGTCAAGGCATTTCCTGTGCTGACTGTTGAACCTTCTTTTAGTCGGTTCAAAATAATATGCAACCCGCTTGTAGCAATATCTGCCAATTCTATTATTATATAAATCATTCGTTGTTTCATGAATATTTAATACAATGCATTGAGGCAGTTTAGAGGATTTTACGTTTGCTTTTACAGAAGAAGTTTTCAGCTTGTTGGCTGTTACATTACAGCAGTGATTCGCAGGCAGAGGTGCTTGTATCCCAGTTGGTTCAGCAGTTGCTTGGAGCTATGTGGAAAGATTGTTGAGTAGCTCAACTGATTCTAAAAAAAAAAAAGAAATTTGATTTAATATATATCTCCACATATTAAATCAGCTGTAATACCTGAACACACATTACGATGATTGAGAGTGCATGAAAACTTGTTAGCAAGTTAGGAGGGACGTTTAAACAGTTGCCACAATTGCTGGATAAATGGTTGAACTAGTTAAAAGTAATAGGTAAATGGTTGAAATAGATAGCTAAAGTAATAGTTAACATGGTAAAGTAATAAATGTCATGGGTGGTTGAAAGCTAATCACAGCGGATGAATGGTAGGTTGCTAAAAAATTACGCATAAATAATGAAAAATCCATGTAATGGAGAAATGGTTGAAATAGATAATTAATAGTAATGGATGATGGTTGAAATTGTTAAAAAATAATAAATTGTTATAATAGAATGCTAAAAGTAATGGATCAATGGTTCAAACGTCAAATGTCTGCCACTGAAGTGGTATAAATGTGAACTTGACCAAACCGACTGATAGTTCAATCGTATGAAAAAAATATTGTTACAGTATCCACCTTTTAATAGTGTTAAATAACATCCTGTTTAAAACGAAAACATTCGAAACATGATGGGCGGCGGTCAGGTCTGTGAAGGTGCATCAAATACAAAAGGTTCTGGAATCACTGGCTGCAGTAGAGCACAATAGCATTATGGGATTATTGTTTACCATTAATTCCCACGTGTAGTAATTGATAGGCACAATTAGAGGGGAGTTGATTGTCATCAATAATAAATGGCTTTCTTGTTAATGCTTTGTGTGTGTACGTGTGTGTCGGAGGACGCTCCAGGCACTGTGGTTTCAAGTGTTGTTTTCCAAGCGCAGAGGCAGAGGAACAGCTCATTCAAACTTATTCGAACACTGGGGTTATCTGAGGTGACAGACAAAACATTTTCACTGTGAAACACGGGGCTTACGTCTGATACAAAGTATACAGAAGGTTTACCGACATGTTGAATGAACATCGATTTCCCCATTCACCTCTTTATTAAAAATGTGTTCACCTCATATGACCCTGATGATAATCTCTCTCCCTTGTTAGAATAGAAATACCTGCCCTGAGAGAACACTCAGAACAAACATCAACTTCTTTTATTCAATGTGGAAACATGGTGTCCTAACACTGCACACACTCTTTTTTTCTTTTTTAAGAACTCAGTATTATTTGTATGTATGACATGTTGCCAGCAAAGTAGCAGCCTCGCCATCTTGACTAACAGGATTATATGCTTCAGGAAGATTATTATAATTAAAATCTTTTGGCAAGAGTAATCTACATGCTATTCTATACGTAGCATTGCTGTATTCCCCACCAAACACTCCTGTTACATTCATTTATGATACAAAAGAAAATCTGTAATACTCTCTATTGTACATGCTTTTTTTTGGATGACACTAGGGCTGGGACGATTATCCGACGTAATCGACGTTGTCGATTATAAAAATTACTCGACGTGGAATTTTAGTGTCGACGCGTCGTGTAAAACCACACAGGGTAAATATTCATAGAACAAAACCGGAACTTTCTAATGGGACCGTTTATATCCATCGTCTTTGGTTTACCCGGATACAAACGCAGCGCAAGGGCTGGGACAACGCGGTGACGTAATTGAAGTCATTGACTACATGAATGATTTGCGTCTGCGTAATCTATTTGAACAACATGGCGGCGTCTACCAGCAGTACGACGGAGCGTGTGGAGCAACACACGGCTCGCACACGGTCCTCCAAAGTTTGGGAATACTTTAATCTTGACACCAACAGTGCGGTAGTCTGCAGACTCTGCAAAGTGCATCTTCATTTGTGTGTGTGTGTGTGTGTGTTGGACGGGGCAAATTGTTATATTAAATGACTAACTGGAAAATAACTGCAATAAACTGTTAGGTTAATAAAAAAAATAATCATTAGATTAGTCGAATAATCGAAAAAATAATCGCTAGATTAATCGTTTGGGACAGCCCTAGATGACATGTTTCTTTATGTGTCGTCTCTCTTTGTCTCTGTGCCAGTTTGTGGTCCGAGTATCGACATCCGAAATGAGATCAGTGAGTTCAAGCGGCTGGAGAACTGCACGGTGGTGGAGGGCTACCTGCAGATCCTCCTCATCAATGACAAGACCAACAACATCCACCAGGAGGCCTTCCGCTCCCTCACCTTCCCCAAGCTGACCGTCATCACCGACTACCTGCTGCTCTTCCGCGTCTCGGGCCTGGACAGCCTCAGCATGCTCTTCCCCAACCTCAGTGTCATCCGCGGGCGCAATCTCTTCTACAACTACGCCCTCGTGATCTACGAGATGACCAGCCTGAAGGACATCGGCCTGTACAAGCTGAGGAACATCACCCGGGGGGCCATGAGGATTGAGAAGAACCCTGAGCTCTGCTACCTGGACTCAGTGGACTGGTCTCTTATTATGGATGCTGGGTTCAACAACGTTATCAATGGAAATAAGAAGGCAAAGGAGTGTGACAATGTCTGTCCAGGCATCATGGAGGATAACCCTCTCTGTCAGAGGACGTCGTTCAATGACAACTACGACTACCGCTGCTGGACATCTAACCAGTGCCAGAAAGGTAACCTGAATTTCTATCATGTTTTATTTCATACTTTTTATCAAAAAGAATAAAGCAGGCGATGCTCTAAATGTGATTTTTGCTATATTTAAATTGAATTTTAATAGCAGCAGTGTTTGTGCAATATGAGTACAGTAAATGCAGATGTGACTTTGATCTAGGTAGGTGGTTTCCAGTCTCACAAACATTCTGAAATTGAGCATTTCTTCACCAGTGAACAACTCCCATGAATCTATGCAGTGTTTTCCCTTCATTTCCGTCAGGCTGTAGGATTGTCCACGGGCCAGTGCAAACATTTCCTCTCTGTTCATTATAGAGACCTTGTCTTAAGATCAGGCTATTTGTGGAGTGAAGGATGGCTGCAATATAGAGCACCAGGTATTAGAAAGGCATACTCAGTTGAGGTTAAAGTTGCTCTGCCAAGAAATGAGCTAGTCTACCTGTCTGGACCATGTCAGTTAAATATTTGCCTTAGGGACTTTTTGCAATTTATGAAAAGGGGTATATTGAAGAATCTGGGGGAGGGTCATCCTTGTTTAACTTCGGCCCCGCGGTAGGGTCATGCATTTTTTAAAACAGTTCAGAGGAGGGTCATATCGTTTATATATATTTATACATATTAAAATTTAAATTCCTCTCCGTCTGCAGGTTTGAATTAATTCAGTTATGTCTATTTGTCGCTTGTGTTCATTTTGTCTCAGCTATTCCTGCAGCACTCAAGGCGAGCGTAGCAGCTTGCGCCAACTTTACATATCTTAACCAGTCTTTTTCTTGCAGATTTATGAGAGAGAGACAGCTTGTGCTTTTTGATTAGAATTTGGGACAAGCAGATCAGCCGTCTCATGCCTCCTCAAAACTACTGTAGAAGGCAGTTCAAGCCTTTTGTAATATGCTCCTGCAGCCCGTTTGACACAGACAGCATTAGCTGAGCTCTCGATGAGGCCTCTGGTAGAAATGTTCTGTTGCTTTCTGACATCAAAAATCCAGCTACTCTTTTTGTTTTCAAACACCACGTTTCTTGCCTGTATCGCTTTCCATGCAGCTATTTTCAAGACGTCAAGCTTCTCTTTGTTTCTGAAGGCTATCAGTGCTTTATTTTTAAATTTCCTTGCAAGGTTTGCAGAGGCCAGGGTCATGAATAATTTTTCACGGTTGCAAGCAGGGTCACATACATTATTCTTCAAATACAAAAGGGTCCATTGATGTGTTTAATCAGAGGTTCAAATTCCTCCACACTTAAAGATAACAGACAATGCTTTATTTCAACAGTCGACACAGTAATCACTGAAATTTGGAAAAGGCTATTAACATGTCTTTAAATACAAAACACTTGAGCTCAATTAACGTATCTTTAAAAGAATAAACGTACATTAATGCTGCTTTAATTTCATAGTGTGCCTGTATATAAAATGTGCCAAAACTCATATTCTAGACGGATGTGTGCTGTGAGAGAAGTTGAGTGTTGAAAATGTACCTTTGCAGGCGACCTGAGTGATATACAGGGTGAGCAGAAATTTGTATGCTAGACCAAGGAGGTGGTAGGCATTTGTCAGCACATTGTACCGCCTGAGAATTTAGTGGCAACGCAGTGGGCACTCTTTCCAGGAGGAACAGATTTCAACCTCCTCTTCATTCTCCTCCTCCTCCACCGTTCTGGTGTCATACCGTTGTAATGGTGACATGTTCAGTCTTTCCCACTGTAGAACAAACCTGCTTAATTCACATTCACAAAATCTTTGCGTTTGTGTTAAACTCAAACAGACACTTGCTGAGCTCTTGAAAGGCTGACTGTGGAAGTGGTGGGGAATTCACTTGGGAGGAGTTTTTAGGGTCTGAAAGAATAGAGTGTGCAATGACTCAGAAATCTTCTGTGCATTGTCTCAATGGCTGTGTCCATGATAGGATTATCCACAGTGATCTCGAAACTCTTCTCTGGACTTGTGACAGTCTCAACATGAGCCAGTGTGTCTTCCATTTCCAATACTGCCGCTTTATCCTGCTCCTGCAATTTTCTCATTTAAAAAATCTGTCTGCTGCTGCCTTGATGGAGACGGTTTCTTGACCTGTGTTGTCCTAACCATTCTGTGAACAGACAGAATGTCCTTCCCCTCTGTGTCTGTTCAAATATCCCGAGGATGATCTGCGCTGTTAATACTGTCTCGTACTTCAGCAAAGCCTTGATAAATTTACATGCACTAATCCGAGTGGTTGTTTTCATGATCGCCTGGTCTCGTCTAGCTCTCAATGTGAGAATGACATCCACGTAGAGACGGTAATCTGGATGTGCAAAAGATCCAAACACTTTCCTCAGTGCAGCATCCTTGGCCCGCCGCCGTGTCTCTCCAGTTGGAGAGAGGTGTCTGTGTTCGCTGGTCCTGGCACTCACTCCCCCACACACTCATCCTTTTGTATGACTCGCGAAGAAAAACAGCATTATACAACAGTTAGTTCCGACCATGTAATTTGATTGGACCGGAGTCATTCCATGAGCGCTGATATAGAGTACAACAGCACTGGGACGTTTAACTACATGTATCACTCCGCTTTACAGGTTAGTCAGCGGTACATTAACGGTCGTTATCTATCTTAGATTGTAACAAACTTTGCAAAGATGATTATATTTCCAGAAATAACATTTGAATTAAATTGTTTATGGTCGTCAGAAGAGGATGAAGCGCACACCTGAAGTAACATGTGGACAACTTGGCAAGCTAGTGTGCACTGTGCAGGTCAGGAAAATGTTTATGTGTTACTTAGCAACAGTCCAGTACCAGTCCAGTTGTGGAACTATTTGGGTTGGCGTAGCCGAATAAATGATAAAATAAACAAAACAAATCATAATCTGTTGTTGCTTATTTAACTAATATGGCGCTCATGGAACTGTTGTATAAAAGCAGCATCACACTCCGATGTTGTACTGATCGATGTTGTCTGATGATGTTGTTCTGAATATCAGCGCGGCTGTGATGGTCTGCTAACCCGTACCTAACCCGGTATTGCTTAAATATCATTCAGCAGTGCAAATAGTGATCTGCTTTCACTGACTGATTGTGTTGTGCCAGCACGGACGAGGTTAAGCGCATGGGCGTTGCACCATACGTGCACCTCATTTGGGGACTCTTGACACGAGAGCAAGAAAAGCCTTTGCAGTGGCCCTGCGTATTGGATGCACCATCTGTGGCTGGCCCGATGCTTAAATCCAATTTCAGGTTGTCAGCAGCCTCTGAAAGATACACTGACCTGTTGATTCTGTGCGCTTCACAGCAGTGACAAGCCTCTCATGAACTGCGACGTGTCTCAGAACAACAGAGCACTGGTCCAGGGAGATGATGTCCTCGGTGGTGTCAGTTTGTACGGAGAACAAACCAGCCTTTGTGATAGCTTCCAACAATGCTTTCCTGAACTGTGGCAAGGATGAAGAACATGGTTCTTGCGGACAGCAACATCACCAGGGAACCTCTGCCCTGCTGCGTTTTGATTTGATTTGATTTGTCGATGGATTGAGCTACATGCACTTTTAGGCATAGATCATGCTCACTTAATAGGAGTAATTTGCATGATTAGCATTGCTGTCTTTGAGCGTGTACGCAGTATCAATTCCTTGACCTATAACCAAGGCCAGTCACTTTCACAGCATCCCCCACACGCTCCAGAAAGTGACGTTTCCTCTTAATTCTCTCCCTCTGTGAAGACAACTGACGACCACTCAGTAAGCTTTTAATATAAGATGTCACTAATGAAGGGAGAGATTTCATTGGCAGTAGGTTATGCATTCCTCTATTTGTACCATCTTTACACTAGAAGACTATCTGTACTACTGGGTTATTTGCATTTTGCTTCAGGTGGTATATGCAAAAACAACCAAAGGCTTTCACGATTGGGACAAATGTAATGATTGATTAGCTCCTCTCCTCTTGTCTCTCCACTGTACCCCTCATGTCTGCTCTTTTCTCCTCTCTCCACTTCTTCTCCTCGCTCCTTTCGTTTTGCAGCTTTGCTTTTATAGTTAGCAGATGCTGATATAGTTTATGCGCAGGTGAAATGGTGATGTTAGTGCTGTAGCTTAGGCGTGGTGTACTGTTTCCTTTCTATTTGTTTATTTTGCATAGACAATTAACGCACTGGCACTTTAGAGAGCCTGGCCACTTGTTTTTAACTCTTTCCGGAGTTTAAATATCCATGCTGTACCGTGACTCAAAAGGAGTAAATAAAAGATGGACAGATAAATGTTTTTTTCTTGGAGAATAGGATGAGATCAACTCTTGGTTTGACATTGAGAACTTTTTTCAGACTCCTTTTTCAGACATTTTTTTCTGTTCTTTCATCTGTGTGAGTAATGGTGGGAAAATGTTCCTCCAGGTCGTTTCTATAGAAGACCTGTGTACAGCTCCCATGGTCAGTTGGGAGTCTCAAACACCACCCTCCTTCATTCCCCGGGGACCCTCAAAGAACAAATAGTGGAAATCAAGCTTGCGTCCTTTACCCAGTGACCACGTCTCTCTCCGTAGAAAAGCTATGGTGTTTATTGTTGTGGCTGTGTTTAGTCTGACCTGCCGGAGCTCCGTGCATGTTGTTATCGATTTCGTGATCCATATACAATTGCCAGTGTGAATGAAAAGATTTGTTCTGGTTTTATATGAATATCTTTTGTTACAAAAAAAAAAGAAACATAACAGAACATTCCTAAATGACTACATTGTGAAAGGTACAATTGTCTGCAGTGACCTTCAAGTTACACCCCACAGTAGATACTATGTAGTGTTTTGCGGTGTTGTTCTCACACGTCGGACTTGAGAGGCAGAACAGGAGTATTGTCTGAACCAGTTCTCTCCTCTTGGAGGCCCGGGCCGAGGTCAGGGTGAATGCATTCATCTAGAAGGCCTTGAGGTCTCAAGGCTGCAGATAAAAGCCTCGGGGAGCTACACCGTGGGGAAAGAAAGGAGGAGTTACTGAAGCAATAATAGGACACAATGAAGCTAGAGCAGGACAGCAAGCTTCAC